GTCCTGGTTCCTCTTTGCACTTGTGTTGTACTTCATTAATCTCAAGTTGTGACAGCAGTAGCCGTTTGCGGATGTTGGAACACTGATCTACTAGTTGTTTGGCAGTTAGTGTCGACTGGGGATGTCGAAGTAACCATTCCTCCCACAGTCTTTGCATGTAGCCCCTCTGGCTAGGGTTACTTGAGTATTCCAACAGATCCATGTTTTCATCTCTCGCCCATTTTCGTCTTGTTCCAGTAGCCCATTTTTCATCAAGGTGCTCTGGTTCCCCAGCACCTGACGCAGACCTTGTTTGGCCGGGCGACGTCTGAGCCGGCATGTTATGCTTATTAATGTCTCTCATGGTATGAGGTAGGCCATATAGCTCCAAAGGGTCTTGCCTAAGGACCCACCCTGCATAGCTCAATTTTTGTCAGTTGCGCTGGCCTGGATTCGAACCCGGGTCTCCCGGTTGGAAGACCGGTGACTTACCCGCKGAGCTCACATTTGAGTCTTAACATATTTGTTATATCACAATGAAATAATCCAACTTTATCTTTCTGACAGATGGTGTCGCTGTATTATGCTATTCCTACAGTGAAGGAAAGTGACTGCCAGAAKTTTAATATGTCAGTGGATCTAATCCCAGGTAACTTATTTAGTTATGCTATTGTCCCTGTTTACTTTTGTCTAAAATAATCTCATACTCATCAAATCCTTTGTTCCTATAGTGAAAATCAGTGATGATGAAAAGACATACAAGCTAAAGATAGAGGTTTTGTAAGTACAGTACACTGCACTCTGGCTTCTGTAAAAACAATATTTTAAAACATTTAAAATATTCAGTAAATTCTGTGTACAGGTATTTGAACAAGGAAAGMGATGCAACTATGTCAATCTTAGATATTGGCTTAATGACTGGCTTCACAGTCAACACAGATGACCTGGACTTGGTGAGAAATCTATCAAACACCCACATTCAGTTTTATTTTAATGTTTAGTTTTTAGCAGTCATTACTAAATTACAATACTCTAAGATAGGAGATCCTAATGCTGACTGGGAACAGGTGTAAGTTGGCCCAGCAGGAAATGAGGAGTAGTAAMTGACTGAGAATAAGTGATACTGGCACAGAACCAAACCAAGAATCACGCAGCATGATAACTAAATGGGAATAAATACAAAAACTACTAAAAGCACAATCAAAACAGATCCTGACAAGTACTGTTAAAATATCTAATGATGTGTGTGTATGTGTGTAGTTGTCTAGAGGACCTGCCCGCACCATCGACAGATATGAGATGAACACTGTTTTGTCAGAGAGAGGCTCTCTTATCATCTACTTGGACAAGGTAAGTGTTTTGAAGCATTTGATACAATCATGGAGGTACATATAGTATAACAGCTGGAGTGAGTTTTGACCATGTGGTCTACTGGAGAAGATAAGCAGAATGGGCAAGAGTCTGGATTTACCATTACTGTACATGTTGGCAACATACA